CCTGGTAGGTTCAGAAATCTTGTTTTATTCTGCTATATTGTTGTGGCATTTAAGCAAACCTCTTATGTGCTTAACGAGTAAGTACAGAGTGTTAGTATTCTTCACAAATGTGTTTACTTTTCCATAAAGCTCTTTGTTGTCCTACCCTCGAACATTTTATTGCAGAAGAATAAAGAACTAAAGAGGCTTTAAACAAACAATCGAGATCAAACATGAACACAGTTTTTGCGTGTTCCCCATCACTTTCCTCAGGATCCCTTCCCTGCACAAAAGCAGTTCACGTGTTTGTGGAAGGCTAGTGCTTGTACTCCAGCAACTGCTTTGCCTTGTGTCATCTGCTTCACTCTAAATGGAGGAAAAACACCAATACTTGTAAAATCCTTCTGCAGAGTCATCAAGAAGCAATCTACTTCCCTGGGGAAGGCTGGAAATGCTGCAGAAGCATTTGATGTAGCAGCCACGGTGAGATGATGCTTGGACGTGCTCCTAATGTGGTTTTGTTGCTGCTTAAACCATGACAATAGCATCTATGAAAAGCACCAGGGCACTGCTAGAGACTGCTGCACAATGCTGGGATCCATTTAAACACGTTTGTAACACTTCCCTGCTTTGAGAAGTACAGACAACGAGGCTGGGTGTAAAACTGCACCGTGAGGTGGAATGACCAGTGTTCATTACCCACTCTCTGTGTGCTGCTGCATGAGCTCGAGAGCTGCTGGATGCAAAGATGAGCCAAGAGTTAAGTTTACAGTCCAGCACCTATAAAATTTCTTTAAATACACAAATCCTATTTGTGGTGAACCTCAAGTGGGGTGTCAGTCCTGATCATCCTTCCGCTCATGAAACTCAACACACAGAAGCTGCATTTATACCTATACATTTTGGCTGCTACAGAGGAGTTGCACAGAGGGAGTCTGGCAAAAGGAGCTACGAAGTAGCAGGATAAATGAAAAATGTCCTCCCCAAAATGGTCGTAGTTATTATGACAAATACCCCTGAGGAAAGACTGGGTCAATCTTTTGTGTTTTACAATTAAAAAAAACCAACAACAACCAAACAAACCACAATGAGGCTGGAAAAGGACAAATAAAGAGTATTAAAGGGGAAAAAACGCATTTCTCCAACACTTGGGTTCTTTCACAAGGTGAAATCTTGGTTCCAGTTTTCAGGAAGCTTTTCTCTCTGTGTTGGCCTACATGTAACAGAAGGAATTTCTGCCTTCGTTACTTTCTGTAGCCTGAGAAAAGAGAAGGTTTTCTATCGGCATTTGACATAAACGTCAAGAAAGAGCAGCTCCAAATTTCATTTGGAGGTTTACATCCCTCAGCAAAATGAAGGCTTCTTTTTGATACCCCTTCATTTGTAGGAAAGGCTTCTGCCAGAGCATGCTGCAATGTGGCAACAGGAGAACTAAAAGCCTTGTCAGGACAACTTCCACGGAATATAAAGATGGAGGTTGTGCTCTGTTTCAGTTTTACGATCCTTCATCAGTACCCAAAACCTTTAATAATAGAAAAGATGAGTGGTTTTCTTAAGGTTTTAAAAAATAAATATAACCACTATTGTCTTTGTGATCACAGAGTTACTGTTAAAAGCCCAAGCACTGCTGTTTATACAGTTATGCTAAACTGTGTTGTAAAAACTGTGTTTGAAAAATAGCTACAAAGTGACTGGTGAAGCAGCTTTCCAGTCTCTAAGGCCCTGCCAGCCCAGAGATGATCTGAGCACATCGAAGGTGCGAAGCCTGGGGTTAAAGTGCATCCAACCTGCTGGTGAGGTGGGTTTTGTCTGCTCCGTGCTCATCCCTCCGGCGCGGCGTTAGGAGATGAGATGGAAGGGAGCACCTTGCAGGGCTGGCCGGTGCTGAGCATCACCTGGGGGTCCCACCAGGGCCGGTGCTGAGCATCACCTGGGGGTCCCACCAGAGCTTCGGGCTCCCTGCAGACAGAAGGAACTGGTGCTGTACGCCCGAGCGGCACCACGACGGAGCGCTCTCCTGAGAGCACCTTCCAGCAACGAGCCCGAAGCGGGAGGAGCCGCCCCGGGTACCACCCCGCCCACGCGCGCCA